CGGGAATACTTGTTACGCAGGGTAGTTGTCAAATTACACTTAAACTCTTACTTAACTAACTTGTGTCTCACAAATTAATCAAACTCTTTTGTTCCACACAGTGAAGATGAACACAGCATCCCACAGTCCCAAAGTGTTCTTCGCTATTGTTACTTGCGTTCTCATAATGATTGTGGTATACATGAGTCAAGGAAACGAGATGATGAGATTAAGAGCGCCACAGAGAGAAGCAAGAAACGAGTCTGTGATACCGACATCTGTAGTGAAAACTAACCGCGCCAAAACCAGATTAAATGTGATTCTGTTGACGCATATGAGCTCCGGATCGACACTTGTGGGAAATATCTTTAATCTTCACCCCGATGTGTTTTATATTTATGAACCTCTGAACACTCTTAGAAGAGACATTGATACGAATGAGTGGCGTGCCCTACAAAAGCCGAGCAACGATACCTACAGAAAAGACTTTTCGACTCTGCTTCGTGACTTGTTCACTTGTGGCTTTAACGAAGAAAGAACGATAGAGTTAGCTTTCCCTGACTGGGCAAGACCGTTCAACGCATGGGATAATCGATCAATACCGCTGACCAAAGAGTCGTTGAGAACAGCTTGTAACGCGCGAAAAATCACAGTCACTAAGATCATGCAAACAAGACTTCCCTTTGAAGGTGGAATTCGTGAACTCGAGCAGGTGTGTCGCTCAGATCCTGACAAGTTTGACTGTTTTATTGTTCACCAGGTCAGAGATCCACGCGCTGTCCTCTCTTCTTTAATTTCGAAACATTTCTACTCGCTGGAGCCAGCTGCAAATCTGTTTACACAGACGCCAATGCCTCCCGAAGGAATAAACCTCCTGAAGGAAAATGCGCAAATGCTATGCACGCTCGTGTTAGAAAACTTAGATCACGTTCATGCAGAATGGTCAAACTGGTTCAAAAGGCGCTACATTCTGGTCCGTTACGAAGACATTATCAGCAACATTTCAAAAGAAGTGCTCGATATATACAAATACTTTAGTCTTCCTATGGTGGATATCATTACCAACTGGATTAAAGGCATTCCACCTCCAGGCATGGAAGAAGCGCGACACTACGCGATGGTTATATCGAGCGATGATACCGCTACAGCCGAGAAATGGCGATTTCACGAAAAACCCTCGCTGGTTTCTTTGTTTGAAGAGGCTTGCAGCCCACTGATGAAAAATATAGGTTACACTTTAGTAAATGGCTCTGAATATCTGCAACACAATGAAAACATTCCGCTACAAACTGCAGATATACCATTCCTTAGAGGCCTTAGCGTCTAAGAGCTGGTTTGAACTGAACTGAATTAAAGTCTCTACGGAAAACTATTATTGATATGGGTTAAGCTTAAAAATAAAAAAATATTAAAAAACCTGCAAACAAAGTGTATCGTGTCTTGCTGAATCAAGAATTGCGTCAGCAGTTCCACAAAATGTCGGTTGTAATTTTTGTTTTTCTAATAGTTCGAGCATAATCAAATAAAGTTCATGGATGTATGTAGAAATTTTCATGTCGCCCTCCATTGTCTCACGAAACTGAAAAACAGGTGAAAATATAGCGCTTATTGTTTCCTACTGCGATAATCGGGAAACACTTGAATACAGTTCAATATTGTCATACACTATTTCCTTTCATTTTTTAAAAAAAAAGCCTGCTATGTTACCATTCTAATTTATATTGCTGGCAGTCTGTTTTTCTCTCTCAAGCGGGCTCGTCTCGCCCCAACTCGTTTCCGCCATATTTAGGCGTTCGATGTTCACATGCATGCATGGTTCACTCATCTGCCCCTAACAGAAAAGACTGGCTGCTAGCAGTCTGTGCTAAGTTTTTGAAGTTTAACTGTCAATCACAACTGTTGAAGTGTATTTTCATACATTTGAACAGGAAATTAATTAGAGTGTCTTCACATGACGTCACGGCAGCCACAGTCCCCTAACTGCCCCAAAACGATGAAACAGCGGCCATACTGGTGTCTAATCTCTTACCCAGATCTCACTCTGTTTGACGCTGGCAGTGTGAGATCTGGGTTCGAGATTAACTGGTGTCCCAAAACTGGGTCTGTTGGTCTCAAACCAATCCAGTGCGTTCCTGTGCTGGAGCGGATCTCAGTATGCCGGAAATACTATGTCCTAGATCCTCAATTTTAAAAAAATTCGGGGGACTGATGCCCTCGTCCCCCTAAACGGGACCTCCTTTACCATTCCGTATCCCGAACCCACTTCTGTAAAATTCTGCATCCACCCCAGCAGTGGGAGTTGAACTTTTTTCTTGTTATGTAAATACTTCCAGGTTTCTCAAGGTTTCTCTGTTGCTGGCCATGTGAATGAGTTTGTCAAATTCGTGCAAAGCTATGTTTGCCTTACCATAGCAAACTCTCACGGAAAAATTGTTCTGGACAACGCATACCGTTGTGTTGCCTATGGCAAAATCCACCAAAAACAACGAAATAGATCAAAAGGGCACCAGAAAGCAGACAAAGTAAGTACGATTTCTAAATTTAATTGGAAGTGGAAGAAATGTATACTCAATGATTAAACGTTTCGTTTTGTTCAAACTCGATATGCAGGTGTAACACAACACTGACTTCAGAGAGAGTCACGTTCCACTTCCATGCAGCGCTCAGCGCTCAAAATCTCGACGGTCGGTATTGTAACACAGCACTTCTTACTTCACAGAGTCACGTTCCACTTACAGCGCTCAAGTAACTTTTTCCTATAAACCATAAACTCAATTCAATTCGCATCGCGAGTTTGGGCTCCCTGTGTTTTCTGCCTTTACTCCTATCCAGACTGACGGGAGGCCGCGCGCGTGCTCTGGGAACGAGAGGCTCGGCGGCAATTTCCAAAATGGCGGTTGCGTTTGAGCGGTGGGTAGAACCCGTATATTAAAGTAGGACTAGATCGTACACAGACTAGACTGAGCACAGGCTGGAGAACTGGTTAAGGAACAGTTGAATGTGCTCCTCGTTTTGTAAAGAAAATGAGGTACTTCAAAGGATCGCGACGGAGTGTTAAGAAAAGTAGCCACTCTATGAAAGATGACAGTAGCGCTTCTAAAACTGTAAGTTGATTCTGCAGTATTTTAGAAATAACAGTAAACCTAAAGCTTGTCAAACAATTTCAAGATGAAGGAGTAAATCTGTCTTTGATCACCGATGATTTCTTTAGCTGTGATTAAGATTTTTGGGTTCAAACCTGCATGTGTTTATAAAAAGACGTAAACAATAGCCTCCATTTGGCGCGAAAATACAGTGTGTATGCTCGGATATTTGTCCGCGGACATGATCTGTTCCGAAAAACGAACAGTTTTCCGAGAGTGTACTGTAGCTTGAGGAAACGTGTGAACTTGAGGACATGAAAGGGTTTTGAGAAGTGGGCTGCACACACCCCCAGTCAATTTTTCTGGGAGACCCTCCCCCCCCCCCACCCCCACTGGAGGGATATAGACTTGGCACCTACAATCATGGACAAAAGCAGTTGAGACAGTCCCCGAAAAAGACCTGTTTTCATTGAACGCGTGAGTTTTTCAATCCCCAATTTCCACATTTCGACCCCCTCTCCCCTTTTCAATGTTGTAACCATGTGACAGTGTCCTGCCACGGAGCGTATTTCAACATTGGGGGGGGGGGGTGGGGGGTGGGGAGGGAGAGACAAGGGGGTTTGGCTATGGACAAAAAAGACGTTTTTTGAAATTACAGAAGGACGCCAACAAAAAGCATTTGTTTTGCTCAAATGTGACAACACTTTTGTCCATGACTGTAGATCATTTATAATCTAATGCTGCTACACCCAGTACCGAGCTAATTGTGCAATCTTTAATCTTTTCAAGAGGGCTCTGTTGTTGTCTCTTAGGACCTCTTCATTTGAGCCCAGTAACTGGGCTGGCTTGGTTACCAGGACAAATTTTGTGGTCTGTACATAGGGGAAATTTCAGCCCAAACAACCGGGATGAAATTCAAGAAACAAAACCAAAATGGTAGAACATCGTATCGTTCGCGACTGTCATAGCTTTGTGGACTCTTGTAACTTTACTAATAAAGCTAATTTGCATGCTTTTGCAATGAAAATGCACACACGACAAAAATTATGCCATTTTGGCAGCTATGTTGCGAAAGCAAAGGTATTTTGTCACAAATGTTTTGTCTTGGTCACCCAGGCTGGAGTGTTCACATGGGAAAATTTTCATCGCGGTCACTGAGATCTCGGTCGCAAAAACCAAGATCTTGGTAACTGAGCCAGCCCAGCCTTTCATATGAACACATCAAAATTTTTACAAACGAAAGAGTGGTGAGGCGAGATCTTGGAAACTGAGCCAGCCTGCTTGACCAGGCTCATGTGAAGAGGCCCTTAGTCCATAGTCTTGCTTCCTTACCACCCAAATGTTGCCTTTTTCTGGCTTGTTACAGTCTCTAATGTAATGTAATAATATGATGGCTACAAAATGCAATTCCTGTCAAACCAGAGCTCCTAGAAAAACTCTACAAGCTTGCACCATTCATTGGTGTAGGTTCAATAATTTTGTTGCCATTAAGCTTTGGGCTGAGGGTGGAAATCAAATCTGCTTGGGAAAAACCCGAGCTTATGTCCACTAACATGAACAGTTATTTCATGACAACCACAGCTTGGTGGTCTTCCTAATTTCACCCGAGCAAGCTGGAAAATAATCGTGAAAAATTACTGATCATGATTTTTATCTCAAAAACACTGATGTACAGACAGTTGATTCATCTGGGAATGGACAAACACAAAGGAAAAGACCACACACTGTTGATACTGCAGAGACGGGGCAGTCAAAAAGATCTAAAAAGAGTAAACAGAGGTCTAGTAGCGAAAGCCTTTTAGCTACCACTGTTCATGACCACGCAACAAATAAGAAGGACACAAGAACATCAAATGATAATGATCAACCCATTGTCAAAAGGACCAAAAGGAAAGAGCAGGTTATTCCAACTGGATCCTTATCTTCCTCTGAATCAGAAGGTAGCTTGCACTTGTCAGATCAGAGTGATTCTTTACACATTACTGTGTGCAATACTGGTGAACTTGGTGAGCAAAGTGACCGCAAGTTCCTACAACAGCAAATCAAGATACTTAAGACACCATTCCAGCTTGAGAATGATTGCCCAGGTTTATCCAGGATCAAAGGTATACCCTTTTAAAAAAATGTTTTGTTCCAGAAAATTTCCATACCCACACCAAGGAGGGTTATTGGAAATTATAAGGAGCAAGGAACGGGAGAAGGGGGTTTAAAAGCTAAAATTTTAATGGTAAGTATGAACCAAAACTGTGGCCTTATGCTCCACTCACGAAGGAGCGAAGGGGATGAGTGAGTGATGAACCAAAACTGGAATATCCAAAGGGATTGGGGGTGGGGGTTTCCAACCAAAAAAAATCTATGGATGGATCCATGCATATTTTCTGTAACGTTCAACACAATTAAAGACTGGTATAAGAGGAGAGTTTGTGTCATTTTGAGTCAGTTTTGTTTTGCTCAGAAGTGCCTGAATTCTTTCATGTAACTTTTAGTTTAATTGAAAGCCATTGCCCTGTATATTTTTTCCCTGCTGGTTTGTGGTTCATTTCTGATAAAACACAAAGTTCTCTCAGTGACCCTATTGTGTTAGTGGTCTGAGACTGTTAATACAGTAGTTATTGTAGCTGTTTGCGTGTGGTTTGTTGTGGTTTGTTCCGTGTTTTGGTCATAGTTAAGAGAGTGAAATGGTTGTAGAACCTGGCAAAGTTCTTTGTTGTATGCTTTTGTTGGTTATTTTGGGGGTCGACCCTGCACAAAACCTGGCAAAATACTAAAGGTGTTACAGTGTGTGCCCATATTCCGATTATATAATTCATGCATAGTCTATGAGCATAAAACAAAAGATGTGCAGCATAAATCCTAGTCTGTTTGTTTGCTTCTTTGATGTTTACTAGGCTTCTTAACCATTTCCCTCTATTAACTATGTTTTGATACTAGTAACTATGAACATGTTATATTTATTCAGTGATGTTCTATTTCTATCACAGCAAATGATTCAAATCACATGCCTTTCCAAGTTATCCACAACACATTGAGAAAAGGTGAATTTAGTTTAATTTAGACTTGTTGTAAAGTAATTACAAGATCACTTTCAAAACTATAACAAAATTCATGCATCTCATTGGCTATCAGAAGACCCAAATTTTTGGCCCAGATAGAGCACATTGATTCTGTATTCTTGGTATTGGAATGGAACTAGCTTGCTACTGAGGCTAATGCAACACAACATTGAAATAGTAACATGGAGGCTGGTGAAATGACAATGAACGACATGACTTGGTGTTGATATTCAGACAGCAATGAGAGGCAGGCTTTTAGCCAGGATATGAAAAGTGGGTGTCCAAAATGTGCTATAGGGCCTGCTCAAATGAACAATTTATAAGGCAGCAGAGGAAAAATAAAACAACTTTTTTTAATATGTCGCCGTTCACAGGATGCGTGGACACTCATCTGGTTAGCCTAATGAGAGGGGCTTCTGAAATGCTAACATAAAAAGGGTTTAAATTAAAACTGGGCACATGCATACCTCACCCCTCCCTACCAGGATCCAAGCTTTAGGGTTATTGTTTATTGTTTGTAATAGAAACCAAATGCTAGCCCAAGGGAGACTCAGATAAGCTCCTCAGGTGGGGGTCCTGGGCGTAACTTTGGTCAAGTTACCTTCACATTTACTAATCATTTGATTTATTGTTTTCTTCCGGGTATATTATTTTATTTCAGTCAATCATAAAACAGAAGATGAAGTTCTTCGAAGTCTTAACAGGCTTGCACAGAGAAAACTACTTGATAGTCTGAGTGCTGTAAGACCAGAATCCACCTCCACTACTGCTATATTAGATGAGCAATTAAAAAGGTATGGCTCCTCTTCTTATAACAGGGCAGGGCAGGAAAAAAAATTTGGGAGGGGAAATCCACTTGCCCAGTGGGCCAGTAAATTTTAGTTTTCACTTGTCCCCACTTAAATATTACTTGCTGACATGGCAGCCAGTATGGAAATCAGAGGACAAACTCAAACAAAGTATGCTTGGATTCCTAACTAATCCATGCTTTTAACCTAATGGTTAACTAGTTTTGAAATAGCCTCTGACTGAAAATTATCATTTTATCAAGCTGACATTTTCATTCAGACTCGTAAGACTACCGAGGCTAATTTCACTTCCCCAGGGGGCCACTGAACTTCTATTTTCACTTGCCCAAGAGCAAACTTTACTTGCCCCAGGTAATTGCACCTGGGTTTTTTCCTACCCTGTGAACAGTGGCCCCTGCATATTGAAATCAAGAGCACTTGCTAAAAGAGAAATACTCAGGGTGTGCTTACATACAATGTAGATGGGCCTAAATCAAATGACTATTGAATAAAATAATAATACATGTAGTTAATGGTACACTACACAGTGACTCTAGATCAGTAAGTGCTTATTAAACCTAGTCAGCTTGATCCAAGCTCCAACACACTGTTGTTCCAGTGTTGCATCTCTTACCAGTTGATAATATTAGCGGAATATTTTTACTTGTCTTTTAAGGCAGCTCACCACTGTCTTCTGTTACCCCAACCTAACATGCAGTTAACTGAATTTTGTTTGAAGATATAAAGAAGTCCAGGCTAGGGTAGTAAATCTAGAAAAAGCCCATGGTGAAATGATACAAGAACATGCTCGATGTAAGGTAGGACTGACCTTGCTGGTTGTTCACATGCTTTATAAATGGATGCATTATATTCCTTTGAGATGATCAGGATCAATAATCCAAGATCACTAGAGTCATGCACATATATTTAAGAACCAAGTGGTTGGTATTAGAACAGGGTTGCCAAAGGGGAGGGGAAGACCAGGGCGGCCAAAAAAAAAAAATGCATGGAGGAGAACAGTTGAGAATAAAAGGCAAGCAGCCAAGTGGCAGTTGCGGGCAGCTGTCACAGCTCTAGCACCAAATCGATGTGTGCCTCATGGCATGGATTTATATTGGATAGGATAGGAAAAACAGGGTTGCTTAATTACAACAATGTCTTTAACAGGGGCATTAACATTATCATTGAGGGTGGTGCTAATTGGAAGGACAACACTAGAATGAAATTGTATCAACCAGCAAGGTACATGACTAACAGAATGCCTTCTTTTGGTTAGTGTATCGGTGTTTTGGTGTCACAGATGGAGGCAATTGGTAAGGAATTTAACAAAAAAGACTTGATGGATGAGGTCCAAAAGACTAATGACTTTCTAGGTATGTAAAGTATACATACTGCACACATATTTTTAAAAACTTGGCTGTCTTGTGATTATGAGCAGTAGTTTCATGTGGTACTGTTTATTATGCTGTACAAGGTGGTTTTAACTTTTAAGTCTGTATATGAAAACCTAGTGTGTGACCATTCAAATGAAAGCTATAGAGCAGTACTTACTGTTTATTGTGCTGTACAAGGTGGTTCTAATTTTTAAGTCTGTGGATCAAACCCTAGTGTGTGACCATTCAAATGAAAGCTATCGAACAATACTTTCACATGGAACTGATTATGTTGCACAAAGTGCTCAGAAACGTTTTTAAAGCATGTAGACGAAATCCTAGTGTGCAAAGAAATGTTTACTTAAGGCAACCACTGATGTTGTTCCTTTTTCACTTCCATTTTCTTTCTAGCAAACAGCAGTCCAGTGACTACCAGCAAGACCCAGGACATGAATAACATAAATGCAGGTATGGTGTCCAAATCATCATTACTTTGTTTTTGTGAGTTAAAAATTAATTTATTTTAACCTGCACCCATGTTCAGGATCTCAACCAGCATGGTAGCCTGTTTGAGGGTATTACAAGTTATAGAGACATTTATAGGGTTTTGATATGTAGTGGCGAGATGCAAAAAATTGTAACTTCTAAATTTGTGTTGCTTTGAACAGCATGTTGCAGTTGCTGAGTTGAGCAGTAGTGGCTATTGATTTTGGCGAGGTGTATATCTCCACTTTAATCATTATATCAGTGCAACAAAAGTAGGCTGCAAGCTCTTTTAAAACCTCAGAACTTAATACAAACACATGTAGTTAGTGAATAATTTGTCCCCTCTTGAGTAGAATTCAAACATCTTGGTGGCCATAATTGAAGTGTTGACATAAATACAAGAATTAAAAAAATTGTTGTACTTTTTTGTCATATTAGGTGCCAGGCCCAGAGTGGATACAAGTGGTTATATTCCCAGTACTCATGAACAATTAGTAAAAATACTGTTCAAAGATTGATTGTGATTTCTGCTCTAGATACTACATCAAATAAAACATTATTAGATTACATTTCTATCACTCAAGAGTTGTTTTGGACTGTAATTTTATTACCTCTGCAAGTCAAGAGCTCAGTGACCAAGGGGTGGAACAACTTAGCCTGCGAGCAGGCTCACGTTTGGGAATTGAGTGCAAGTGGCGCGGGCACGTATGTGAGAGGCGAAGCCACGATTGTCACAGCGAGCTGCGAAGCCGCGAGAAAGTGAACTCTCTACATGCCACTTGCAAGGATACTTGTTGTTCCTTTTAAAAAGTGAAAGTTGTGTTTTTGTATTACTTATACATCTGTATTAGGGTCCTCCAGTTTACATTCTGTCAGTTGTTTCACTATGTGGTACCTCTACGGTTATGTTACAAAGTAAGCTACAAAATAATGAACATGAACTATTTATAATAAAAAGATGAAACTGTTGTTGAGGGAAGCTGCTTTGATTGGACAATAATAATTGTATCTACCCCTCTGCATCCATACTAGTTACTAGCTCTATGCACGTATTGCAGGCCTATATTGCCAGATAATATTCATCTGGTACAGTTGAACCTCTCCTTACAGGGACCTCCATAATACTGACAGTTCTATAGTACGGACAGTTCACTTAGTCTCAGTGAAATCAAAATTCATATCTTATAAAGACTCTCCACTAAACCCCTTTGGTATCCATATCAGAAACATAAACTTAAACCATGGCCGTGGCCCTGAATCTACCTTTTAGAGGGCTTTATTAAGTCCTGTAATTTTATAAGGAAGGTCCCTCTGTTGACACTGATTACTACTACAACAGCAGTTATAGTTTTTTGTCCTTCTAGCTGTTGTATAAATTTTGCAAATAGAAGTAAGAGTTTTCAGGTTACTTTGTAAAATGTATAACAGGGGTCTAAGGGCGTTTGAGGATTGAAGATTAAAAGATAAAGAAAGACTTTGCAAATGAATATTATTGTTTATTGTCTTGCTATATGAGCGATGTTGTAATTATTGATATGTAAAGCTGTATAGGCATTAGGTCTGTCTAATCTAAGGCCAACAATTTTTGAAACAGAAAATTGATTACGATTATAGGCCCCTCTCCCCAACTGTATTGAAAACAAGCCCAACGAAAATTCTGTGACTAAAAAAATAAACCAGGGCCAAATAGAGAAGGTTTTGCTTGAGTGTCGAAAATAGTTCGCGTTTGCTTTGGTTTTAAGCGATCAGCTTAAAGACCTCGCACTTTTTCCACACTTTGTAATTTGTGATTGGCCAGAAAACTGCTCTTGTTGTTGCCCTGGCTTTGTACGTATCGCGTACCTATTTTTGCACACTCGAGCCGAGAAGAATTCTGGGTAGCGATAGCCAAACATCCAAAATGGCGGACGAGAAGTACGAACCAGGTGAGAATAATACATTGAATATGTGGCGAGAAAGTAGCTATAACGCCTTTCCAAATTAACTTCAAAACGTTGATAAACGGCTCTAAAACTTGTTACAGGTATTATTATCTGAAGAACCTTTTATATTTGTTAGTTATGAAAGTGACAGCGAAAGAGATGGCGGACGCGAAGATTCCCTTGTCGGCCAGAGATTACTGTGCCCACTTGCTTATACCTCTGTTAAAGTGCAGGAAGGACACTTACTTTGCTCCATGGAAATGTCAACACGAGAAGCATGCTTGGGACAGGTGTCAGTATGACGAGTAAGTAGACTTGATGCGATTCATTGATATTAAAGCTAAAGCATTTCTGATTTGAGTTGTTTACAACAGGGTTTCTTCACTTTATAACTTATGGATACTTTGTGAGTACACGACAGTTATATGTGCACTTCCTCTTGTATATGCAGAAGTGCGAGCAACTTGAGCTTTATATAAAAGGTCTTAAAGCGCTTTTCGACTCCTGGGCTCTCTCCTAATTAAGAGAAAAGAAGTATACTCATCCTCGACCAGTTTAAACTAAATTTAACCTTAACTTACATTTCCAGAATAAGCTTACCTTCTTCTAACAACAAATACACCGCTGTACATCATTCCTCCGCAAATTGAATACCTCCAGTCAAATGCCTGCATTTAATGTTACCTTCGGGTCTAGTTGGCAGCAATTTTTTTGCCATCAGAAAAAGCACATATTTGGTCAACAACCCAAGGTCAGTTTGCACAGCCTGCTCAAGTGTACTGCCACAAATTGTACAGTATTTTTACAGAATGATGCAAATTTTACTTAACGTGGTGTATGGCATTTGCATACCNAGAAGTCCAGGCTAGGGTAGTAAATCTAGAAAAAGCCCATGGTGAAATGATACAAGAACATGCTCGATGTAAGGTAGGACTGACCTTGCTGGTTGTTCACATGCTTTATAAATGGATGCATTATATTCCTTTGAGATGATCAGGATCAATAATCCAAGATCACTAGAGTCATGCACATATATTTAAGAACCAAGTGGTTGGTATTAGAACAGGGTTGCCAAAGGGGAGGGGAAGACCAGGGCGGCCAAAAAAAAAAAATGCATGGAGGAGAACAGTTGAGAATAAAAGGCAAGCAGCCAAGTGGCAGTTGCGGGCAGCTGTCACAGCTCTAGCACCAAATCGATGTGTGCCTCATGGCATGGATTTATATTGGATAGGATAGGAAAAACAGGGTTGCTTAATTACAACAATGTCTTTAACAGGGGCATTAACATTATCATTGAGGGTGGTGCTAATTGGAAGGACAACACTAGAATGAAATTGTATCAACCAGCAAGGTACATGACTAACAGAATGCCTTCTTTTGGTTAGTGTATCGGTGTTTTGGTGTCACAGATGGAGGCAATTGGTAAGGAATTTAACAAAAAAGACTTGATGGATGAGGTCCAAAAGACTAATGACTTTCTAGGTATGTAAAGTATACATACTGCACACATATTTTTAAAAACTTGGCTGTCTTGTGATTATGAGCAGTAGTTTCATGTGGTACTGTTTATTATGCTGTACAAGGTGGTTTTAACTTTTAAGTCTGTATATGAAAACCTAGTGTGTGACCATTCAAATGAAAGCTATAGAGCAGTACTTACTGTTTATTGTGCTGTACAAGGTGGTTCTAATTTTTAAGTCTGTGGATCAAACCCTAGTGTGTGACCATTCAAATGAAAGCTATCGAACAATACTTTCACATGGAACTGATTATGTTGCACAAAGTGCTCAGAAACGTTTTTAAAGCATGTAGACGAAATCCTAGTGTGCAAAGAAATGTTTACTTAAGGCAACCACTGATGTTGTTCCTTTTTCACTTCCATTTTCTTTCTAGCAAACAGCAGTCCAGTGACTACCAGCAAGACCCAGGACATGAATAACATAAATGCAGGTATGGTGTCCAAATCATCATTACTTTGTTTTTGTGAGTTAAAAATTAATTTATTTTAACCTGCACCCATGTTCAGGATCTCAACCAGCATGGTAGCCTGTTTGAGGGTATTACAAGTTATAGAGACATTTATAGGGTTTTGATGTGTAGTGGCGAGATGCAAAAAATTGTAACTTCTAAATTTGTGTTGCTTTGAACAGCATGTTGCAGTTGCTGAGTTGAGTGACAAAAGTCAGTAGTGGCTATTGATTTTGGCGAGGTGTATATCTCCACTTTAATCATTATATCAGTGCAACAAAAGTAGGCTGCAAGCTCTTTTAAAACCTCAGAACTTAATACAAACACATGTAGTTAGTGAATAATTTGTCCCCTCTTGAGTAGAATTCAAACATCTTGGTGGCCATAATTGAAGTGTTGACATAAATACAAGAATTAAAAAAATTGTTGTACTTTTTTGTCATATTAGGTGCCAGGCCCAGAGTGGATACAAGTGGTTATATTCCCAGTACTCATGAACAATTAGTAAAAATACTGTTCAAAGATTGATTGTGATTTCTGCTCTAGATACTACATCAAATAAAACATTATTAGATTACATTTCTATCACTCAAGAGTTGTTTTGGACTGTAATTTTATTACCTCTGCAAGTCAAGAGCTCAGTGACCAAGGGGTGGAACAACTTAGCCTGCGAGCAGGCTCACGTTTGGGAATTGAGTGCAAGTGGCGCGGGCACGTATGTGAGAGGCGAAGCCACGATTGTCACAGCGAGCTGCGAAGCCGCGAGAAAGTGAACTCTCTACATGCCACTTGCAAGGATACTTGTTGTTCCTTTTAAAAAGTGAAAGTTGTGTTTTTGTATTACTTATACATCTGTATTAGGGTCCTCCAGTTTACATTCTGTCAGTTGTTTCACTATGTGGTACCTCTACGGTTATGTTACAAAGTAAGCTACAAAATAATGAACATGAACTATTTATAATAAAAAGATGAAACTGTTGTTGAGGGAAGCTGCTTTGATTGGACAATAATAATTGTATCTACCCCTCTGCATCCATACTAGTTACTAGCTCTATGCACGTATTGCAGGCCTATATTGCCAGATAATATTCATCTGGTACAGTTGAACCTCTCCTTACAGGGACCTCCATAATACTGACAGTTCTATAGTACGGACAGTTCACTTAGTCTCAGTGAAATCAAAATTCATATCTTATAAAGACTCTCCACTAAACCCCTTTGGTATCCATATCAGAAACATAAACTTAAACCATGGCCGTGGCCCTGAATCTACCTTTTAGAGGGCTTTATTAAGTCCTGTAATTTTATAAGGAAGGTCCCTCTGTTGACACTGATTACTACTACAACAGCAGTTATAGTTTTTTGTCCTTCTAGCTGTTGTATAAATTTTGCAAATAGAAGTAAGAGTTTTCAGGTTACTTTGTAAAATGTATAACAGGGGTCTAAGGGCGTTTGAGGATTGAAGATTAAAAGATAAAGAAAGACTTTGCAAATGAATATTATTGTTTATTGTCTTGCTATATGAGCGATGTTGTAATTATTGATATGTAAAGCTGTATAGGCATTAGGTCTGTCTAATCTAAGGCCAACAATTTTTGAAACAGAAAATTGATTACGATTATAGGCCCCTCTCCCCAACTGTATTGAAAACAAGCCCAACGAAAATTCTGTGACTAAAAAAATAAACCAGGGCCAAATAGAGAAGGTTTTGCTTGAGTGTCGAAAATAGTTCGCGTTTGCTTTGGTTTTAAGCGATCAGCTTAAAGACCTCGCACTTTTTCCACACTTTGTAATTTGTGATTGGCCAGAAAACTGCTCTTGTTGTTGCCCTGGCTTTGTACGTATCGCGTACCTATTTTTGCACACTCGAGCCGAGAAGAATTCTGGGTAGCGATAGCCAAACATCCAAAATGGCGGACGAGAAGTACGAACCAGGTGAGAATAATACATTGAATATGTGGCGAGAAAGTAGCTATAACGCCTTTCCAAATTAACTTCAAAACGTTGATAAACGGCTCTAAAACTTGTTACAGGTATTATTATCTGAAGAACCTTTTATATTTGTTAGTTATGAAAGTGACAGCGAAAGAGATGGCGGACGCGAAGATTCCCTTGTCGGCCAGAGATTACTGTGCCCACTTGCTTATACCTCTGTTAAAGTGCAGGAAGGACACTTACTTTGCTCCATGGAAATGTCAACACGAGAAGCATGCTTGGGACAGGTGTCAGTATGACGAGTAAGTAGACTTGATGCGATTCATTGATATTAAAGCTAAAGCATTTCTGATTTGAGTTGTTTACAACAGGGTTTCTTCACTTTATAACTTATGGATACTTTGTGAGTACACGACAGTTATATGTGCACTTCCTCTTGTATATGCAGAAGTGCGAGCAACTTGAGCTTTATATAAAAGGTCTTAAAGCGCTTTTCGACTCCTGGGCTCTCTCCTAATTAAGAGAAAAGAAGTATACTCATCCTCGACCAGTTTAAACTAAATTTAACCTTAACTTACATTTCCAGAATAAGCTTACCTTCTTCTAACAACAAATACACCGCTGTACATCATTCCTCCGCAAATTGAATACCTCCAGTCAAATGCCTGCATTTAATGTTACCTTCGGGTCTAGTTGGCAGCAATTTTTTTGCCATCAGAAAAAGCACATATTTGGTCAACAACCCAAGGTCAGTTTGCACAGCCTGCTCAAGTGTACTGCCACAAATTGTACAGTATTTTTACAGAATGATGCAAATTTTACTTAACGTGGTGTATGGCATTTGCATACCATATTTTGGCCTAAATAGTGCTCCAGTTTGCAAATGTCACACACTGAACTTAATATTAGTGTACCAAGTGAGAATTTCATCCCATTTGAAAATAATTGGATTCCTGATGGCATGGCCATATCAAACAAACAATCAAAATAACCCAGGGAACAAATTCTCCCTATATGGAATGAAGAGGGGAGGAGTCTGGTGCAGAGACGTGAGTGAATCCCAAATCGAAGCCTCTGCGCAGGCTACTTTATAGTATTAAAATTCTTCAATCACTTTTATGAATTGAAGGAATGTTTGCATAATGTAACAAAACTTCACTGCTGCCCAATATGACGCACAAAACACCGGTTTGTCAGTTCAGACTTTCAATTTTGGGTGTGACCTTTGGTATCGCTCAATAATGAAGTCTCTTCTTTTAAGACGATGCTTTGAAGTTTGGCTCCCATAACTGTAACTGATTCAATGACCAAGTCGTGACCCGGAGTAGGACATTTGCCGACTGCAGACTACACTTAAGGCCTAAACAGTGTTCTGCTCAGCCCGAATTAGAATATCACTCAGGTTAGCCTGTTTATGGTTAGCTCTCTGTAATGAAAATGGGAATACGATATCAGTTAAAGAGCATGCGGTCTGCAGTCTGCAGTCTGCAAATGTCATACACCAGTCATGACCTGTGGTTCTTAAGTTGGTGTACATCTGTTTTTTATGCTGTGAATTTCATTTCTTACAGTTACTTGCACAGAGTGAGAGAAAAAGAACGTCTAAAGCTTCAGCAGTGACAAATAATGCACTTCTGTGCTGTCTGCCTTGTACATTGGCATGGTGTTTGCATGACCTATCAAACAAACTTCACATGATGAATACCACAATTTTTTAATGGATAGTCATGGATTTCTTGGACGTCTAGTAATGAGGACAGTTGAAAGGAAATTAAAATAAATATTTGTCAAAAATGTGTGTTGTAAGTTGTCCATGTTGCATCCAGTCTTTGTTTTAAAGGTAAAGCCATAATAGCTCATAATAGCACGTACACCCTATGATGAAAAAAAAGGTGTAGCGCAACATGGCGGCCATACTCAAATAATAGGTCAACCAAGGCATGCAGCCTTGGTTTCAAACATACATCTTTGATGTTGGACATCCATGTTAGGGTCAATTGACACCTATCAACTCAAGGTATCTGCTAACCAGTATCACCTGACCATATAGCAGGCTAAGGTTTAGAACTCATCAAGGTCAAGTGTTTTTTGAAGTTGACCGCTGACTGGCCAAGAACTGGTTTTCGATTAGATCACAGGCTCATAGCCAGTTAATTTGTAGTAATAGGCGCTCCGCTTTTAGCCTTGGCTAAATCTATATATTAAGAACATGAAAGAAATGAGCGCTGCTTTTGACATGCTAGATTCTAGATAATTATCCAGAATTTTAGACTTTTCTGGGAATTTTTGAGTACCACATATATTATACCACACCAGTGTCAGCCACATTTTACAACCATTTTCTAGACTATATATAACAAAGCTCCCCACCCCCGAGACCCTCTATTATATTGTTCAAAGCAAGACCTATCACAAAGGTAGTAAAGGGGATTTGTTATTCCATTCCATGCAAAAAAAAAAAGACTTTGTTTTCCAGACTTTTTTCTAGACTGGAAAACTAATTTTTCAGCTATCCATACACGTCCCAAAATCCCTCTGAGGATAAATTCAGGAGAAACATGATACTATACTGCAGATCTGCAATATTTGTTTAACACAGAATACTTAAAACTGGTTGATTAATTATTATCAAACTGGATTAATATTAACTAATAAAACTATAAACTAAGTAAAGAAAAGTAAACTGGTGTTTCAAAACAACCTGTTGAACCATATGCATGTGTATGTTATAAGACAGGGCTCGGGAATGAAAGGAAACATGATATAAGCACAGATATGACTCCTGTGATGTAAGCATTAATATAACACCAACTCAAACATCATTTTACATGGTTTAATTAGCCACATGTACATGTACCAGCTGAAGATAGCCTATAATAGATCTCATTTTAACTGTATTTTATGTTTTACTCTATAAATTATTATATTTTTTTTTTCATATAAAAAAAGCAATCACCTGTTTTCTCGAGACCTGTCTGACTTCTTTCCCAAAACAAAAAGGTACATTTAATAGTAAATTTTAATTGTTAAAAAACATTCTGGCTAAATTTCATGCCCAACACAAGTCAAACAAAATACATAAGGTTGTAATCCCTTTCTTAAGACCCCTATCTGACAGTCTTTCCTAACACAAGTAAAGTACAGTGTGTAATAATATAATAACGTATAAAATGTGTGTCAGGCAAAAATGTAATAAGAATATAAGTTAACCCATGTTTAGAGAACTTGTCCACACGAATGACACAGTGCTGCAACAGTTCACTTTTTTGGTTGCAAAGCGTTTAAGCGTCGCTAAAGTAGTGCTCTTTCTGGCTTGCTTTCCAAAATACTAACTATGATTATATTAATAAAACAATTTTTAAAACACTTTCTTCCGACCTGTTCCCAACACAAGTCACACGACAAGATGCAATATCAATTAATAACACATTTTTTAGTACCATTGGCTCCTTTCCTAGCATATACCAGACAAACAAGATAAAATATTAATGACAAGTTCTAAGCCCTAACATTGTTGCTTACTTTTTCAATACACAATAATTATTTACCCATTCTTCCAAATCCCAAGCTTATTAGCAACACAGCCTTTAACCTTGGAATCAACTGATTTAGCAGATTTTAGGACATCAAATAACAAACAATTAAAGAAACTGATCTAACTACATGTATTGAGTATAATGTATACTAAACCTGTAACTCAGAAACATAATATGTAGCAACTGGACAACAAATTTAATATATATTTACAATGTTTAACAGAAATAAGATTCACCTTCCCTTAGATTAAAATGCACTGGCCATGCAGGAGTTAAGATAACTTAAGCCAAAGTTTACACGGCATAATCAGTGCAAGCATAACTCTAGTTCATATAAATATAGCAATGATGTCGTGTGTAAATTACATGCATTAATCTCAGTTATGTATGCCTAGAAAGTAGTCTTGTGTGGAAAATTTAACCCTAAATGTACTATGAATTTTAAGCAGTTTGTAAAAAGCCAAAAAAACTTCAAACAGAGTGAAAAAATACATATATGTGTAAATTTACAACTGCTAGTACTATAATACAATATATTTGAAAAAGTTCCCCTTTTTGAGATGCTGTGCATTTTTGAAATCATGATATTGCCAGAATACAAAAGTCTCTGAGTTTGAGCCTTAGAGAGGTGATTACAACATTGGTAAAGAAGAGTCACCAAAAACTTCTAGACTGAACAAAATAAAATATATTATTCTTGCGGCCAATAATTAATACAAATTCATTATAACCCTTAAGGTGGTTCCCTAGAGTAATTATGAACACCCTCCCTATATAGAGCGTGAGTTAGAAAAGGAAAGGAAGGGAAGGAAGCTTTTCCCTGTAGAGATTTACCAGTATGGGTACTGGTAATGGCTTATGTTTTGGTAGTCAATTTTTGGATTAAGGCCATTACCATGGCAACAGCTCGTCTGATGACAGGCAGTTGTATTCCTCATTTTGACCTAAACTCCTTAATATTTATACTTTCCTTCGGTGAAATTTTTTCATACTTCACCACATCATAGAAATGATATTGCCTGACATTTTGAATTGGTAAAAAGTCAAGGTTGTTAAGACGGTTTTTCCAATATTCTGTAATTTGTCATTATTCTAAATATATTAAATTAGCTCAGACAGATTTCAACTAAAATAGGGTATTGTTGGAATTGTATGTGGTTAGAACTGAGCCAAATTTAAAAAAAATTCACCAAAGGGAACGCAAGAAAATTAGCATTTATTTGGTCATGCTGACGTCACAAAAATCAGAAAAACACGCATGGTTATTTACTAAAGCATGTGCTCATGTGACGCCATGTATTGTGTGCAAGAAAGCAAGAGTAAATTAGAGTTCTTTTACCGGTTATTTATAGAGCTTTTTTTGTCATATTTTTTTTGGCCCTAGGCTTAAACACATGTTTGAACAGAGTTTAAAACTATTGCTACTTATATCAAAGTGATTTGACGCCTTTCAAGTGCTGGAGTGGTTGTCGTTTCTTCTTAGGGTTACTTGCATCATTTTTGCGCTCAATACTGACATCCGGCAGGAAGTGGTAGCGCACGCTATTGAGCCTCAGAAAAACTGTAGTAAGCCACATTAATGTGATATAAACTGTACACTGTTATCTGCTATTAATATAATATGAATCACTAAGTATCTTATACTGAAGACAACCCTGTGGGTAAATGAAAACCTTGAGGTAATGATAAAGGTTCGCAGGCCAAAGTTCTTTCAAAAATTACAATATTTGGCAAATATATATAAAGTGATCTCAGCTTTCAGTAAAAAAGGAGCAATCCAAGATCACTAGATTTTCAGTTCTGAGATTAATAGAAATTGTGGTTTTTGGATGATAGTTTAAAAGTAGTCTGTTATGATGTTGAGCTGTTAAAATATCAAACATCCTACTCATTGTTGCATTGGTTCCACATGTAGAGGGTTCTATATAATAGAGTGGTTTGATGGAAGGTACACTGTAACTTAAATTCTAAGAGCTCATTTCCAGGTTGCTTCCCATTTTCTGATGTGGCCAGTATATCACCCTTTTCTCATCTTGCATGCAGTTACAGTACCTCAGAGTAGGAGAGGTATTATGTAGTTGTGTCTGTCAAAGAAGCCTCAAAACTTTAAACAACAATTCTACACTAAGAGAACGGACTCTCTGGTTATTTGCCGCAGAGTGAATAACAGGGACTAAGACATCATCAAGATCTGACATAATGCTGGCAGGCAAGTTCTGTTGGTTACTTCCTGTAAAATAGCCAACCTGTGAGAAACCAGATATGGGGAATAAAAGACATCATACATAAGCAAACTTATGCTAAATTTTTGTACATGAAATTGGTAACAGGGTGGTCTTAGGGCTAGTAGGTGGGACTCAAAGTTGAGAGGTTTTAGTTAATGCTAGTTGTGTTTGAGTCTCCTGGGATAATGAATGGGTATTAACCTATAATGGGTATTGACCTATAATGGCAGGCTGAGCTGCAATGGAGTAGCATCTTGCATGGTTTTCATTTGAGTGTCAGAAAGTAATTGGTTTTGCGTTGCTACACCACATGACTGGCTTAAAAAAACTTGCACCATTTTTTCATCCAATTGGAAGAAAAACCAAAAACCAATTCATAGTTTGCTCTCACTCTTAAGAAAAACAAAACTGAAAAGTGGGGCCATCTGTGATTTTGCTCATTCAATGACAAATACATGTATGAATGCCTTACACTATCAGGATCCAAATTCACCCTCAACCCAATGAAGCTGAAGCCGTCTGAACTAAGTTTGGACAAGTGCGGCATAAGTGTTTGACAAAATGCTTTGGCAAGCTCTCCAGTCAGTTTATTGAGATCCCGTGATGCACTCTGTTGGCCTTCACCTAAGAAGAACACCTCTGTCCACTGTATTCTGAATATATTCTTGCGAGTAAAGTCACAGCCACTGTGAACTTTCACACTGGGAAAAGAGTCAAGCTGTAGGCCATCCACTGGACTGCACAAACTATGAACATTTAAAATAAATAAAATAAATTATAATATTTAGAGAGAAAGCCACATCAACCCTAGCTGGTTTTCATGCAGGTCTTCTATCCTGATCTAATTGGGATTTGGAACTGTTGGTTTTTCAGGAGGGAGGAAAATCAGAGTACCAGGAGAAAAACCCTCGGAGCAAGGCAAGAACCAACAATGAACTCAACCCACATATGGTACTGGGCCGGAATATGGCTATGGATATATTAAGCAAAAGAACCTGCAAATAACACTTATCAGGCTTACTTTTCTTTTTACTTCCAATCTGAGTGGTTAAGCAGGTAACTTAGCAGTTCTTTTCATATCACTGACAACTGACACAATCATTGACTGAGACTTGTCCCATATGAAAATGTCAGGAATGCTTGTCATCTTGCTTAGGGGTGTAAAAAAAAAAGTGTTCAGAACAGAACACCAGTACTTTTAGTCCTCAAAGTAACTTTTAGGGTTGCACTCCAGGCAAAAATAAAAACACTGTCATTTTTGTTTCAACTGGTATCTGTTAGGGATAAGCTTAAGCCACGCCCAAATTGGTCCCCTTTAGGAGTTTAATTCAAATTTTACAGTGATCATCCCAAACCTTTTAATTCGGGAATTTCCCCTCCCCCCTACAAAAATGGGATCCGTTGACTTTTGTTGACCAGTACAAACTATACCTGGTTTGTTGTGGGTTGTTGTGACGACTGACCCACTCTACAATGACCAGCTCTTCACCTCCCCCACCTGGGATCCCTGTGGTAATGGTATAGTCCTGCATCTCCTTCAAAGCATGGCGTAGCTTGTCAATCACTTCTGGCATTAACTGTACCATAATACCATCTAAACAAAAAAAAATTGACCGTGTATTTTATGAACCAAACACATTTAAAAATATATATATATTGTGGAAATGATTGCAATGAGCTAGTATCCCATCCAGGGGGACAGCACGAAAGGAAGTGATAAAATAATGATGTTACAAAACTTCCCACAGGGAAAATGTTTGTAGCTGAGAAAGAATGTGTGAAAAGATAGTAATACTATAATATATATTGAGCTTAGTGAACCAAGTTCTCGTAATGATCAGCCATTACACTCCTCTAATGTCTAGGACTGTAACACTCTACAGTAGATACAATACAACAGTCCCTGTAACAACATGTTACACACATAGCAAGCACACAGTAAGACTACTCAAGTGCATTTATACTTAGTACTGGGAAGGTGAAAACAGGCAACAGACCTTCTACAATGTTGACTTTGGCCATGAATGGACTGCTGGGCTTAAGTGCTCCGCTGAATACAATAAAGCTTGCTCCAGTCACTAAATAAAACAACAACAAATAGTCAAAAGGACAATTTGCAGCATTTCTACTGAAACATTGCAAGACATGTACAATGATGCCCCATTTAAGTCCAGATCTGAGCCCTGGCTGGGGTAAAAGGCTGTTTTTAAAAATATTAAAATCTAGCATGAAGTCAAGGCTTAGAGGAATAAAACAAAAGAAATAACTGTAAGATACATCAAGGTTGAATAAATTATAAATAAACAATTTCTCTTGTTTAGTCCCGAAGTTTCGTTGCTATGCTAGAATTTTAATATTTCAAAATTGGCCTTTACTTTGTTTATTTATTTTTACTAAAATATACACTACTTATTTACACCAGGTGCTACACACTTAATTACAACAGGAAAACAAAAGTAAAAACAATTAGTTAATTCTGACAACACATGTTACTGCAGCTACAACAGGGAAAAAATGAAAAAAAGAGAGAAAAAAAGGAAAAGGAAAACAAACAAACAACTAATAGCATAGAGAAGGGGGAAGAGGAACGATTTCTAATCTTGAATTTTTTTAATCTCAAAATTGGCCTACTGCCTTGTGGTAATGCACTTTGCAATTGGGCAATGCACGTTACTTTCACACTTTTACAACGCCTCTCTTCATCCTGGAGTGTAAATGGCAACAGAACAATTTCTAAGAGAAACTGGGAAAAAATAATGACAAGTAAAATGCAATAGACTACATGCAGCACTCCAACCAGGGGAAGTAACAACACTCCTGCATGTAGCTTGTTATGATATGGAAAATAGAAGTAAGTGAAAAGGGTTTAACAAGTTTTAAATACAGTTGACTCCCGATAACTTGAACCTTTAAAGGATATTGATTGCAGAAAAAGGTATGACTTATCAGGAGTTTTAGAGTTATTGGGAGCTGAGAACAAAACAATGACCAGAAATAAAGGGGGAAAGGTGTTTACTGTATTTCTATTCATTCAGTGTACATTTAAATCAAATTTAACTATAGAGAAGTCGAATGAAGTCAAGAGGTTGGAGTTAGCGAGAGTTCAAGTTGTCGGGAGTCAACTGTACACATATACATTGTTAACTAAAAGTAAATAAGAAATAGCTGCAGCATCAGCAGCAGGGTACCTTTCCTAGCTTGATTCTGTATGTTAATTGCTTGAGTTTTGTAGCCCTGTTCATTCTGCATACAGACCAAGTGTGAGTCTGCCTGTAAACTGAAGTTAGCTCCCAGGGCCATAACGTGTTCATCTGTCGCATTAAGAATCTTCACTACCTGACAAAATTAGAAAACAAATTTAACAACTTCTTTAAAGAGTTAACTACAGAATGTTGTGCATATCAATACAACACGTAGTTGCATTGGAGTAGCATACTGGTGGAAGCTATAAGGCCATCATATAACTAATTACATTGAAATGTGACAAACTTTTTGCATATTGCTAAGATTTATTTTGTCAATAAGGAACAGAGAGAAATGGTGGCACATGGTAATCTTTACCCTAGTGAAGACGTCCTGTGACAAAAGTGTACATGTAGGTTTACTCAAAGAGTGCAGCTGGTTTAGCTCAAATCAGTCCTCTGAATTGACACATAATAGCTAAATTGATGGTTAGTAACATAAAGATAGCTTTGATAAATTCAGTGCCTAGAAATATAAGTAGTAGTTTGAGCAATTTCTGAAAAGTTTCAGCCAAACCACTTTCTTCACCACATGTACTGCAATTTGTAAAGGGAAGGGCAGATAAGCAACTCTAAAACAGAGAAAAGGTGAAAAACAACGCAGACTATTGACTTAGGATTATGCTACCCGATTTTGATTTGCATAAAAACAACCTTTTCACTTGATGTTACAGTGGAATGATTTCCATTTTTCCATGAACATTTGAAACAAATTTAATTATCACCAACATTTCAGCTATTTTGACTACAAGATGTCAATTAAAAAATTAAAGCAATGGTACAATAAAACAACCAGACTGTATCCCTGACCAGAAGTAGTAATTATTCTGAAAGATCATGGTCTACCTCATCATATCTGTCTTGTGGCAATCTGACTAAAGTCTTTTTTTCTTCCATGTGTATCACAAGTCCTGTTACCCTTGGTAATGTATACTGGAAGTTTTTAAAATCCTGAGAAAAATATAGTAGCAAAAGAATATTAGACTGATATCACTGACAATTCTGCTTCTTCTGATCAGTGGTTATTGGAAAATTGTAGCAAAAGCGTTGCAAAAATGAAGGGAGGTAATGTACTAGCATCTTACCAAGGGCAGGACATATACATGTATATATTTTTTTAAAGCCAGGCCCTAGATCAAGACAGGCACCATGAAAGAAACACGGTTTGCTAAAGAACACGGATCATGTGTACTAAAGGCATCTGTGGTTGAGTGTCGATCAATACCTTGATTGATACCCTCGATAAACATTCAATCGATATTCAATTAACACTTGATCGACACTCCATCGACATCTTGGTCAAAAGTCTGTCTACAGTTGACTAATTTTCGATTGATGCATACAAGTCAGACACCGAGTATTGATCGGGATGTCGGTCAAGTACCAATCAAGATGCCGATCAAGACTATCGATCGAGGCTATCAATTAACTCCCGACTGCAGATGCCTTTAGTACATATGATCCAAGAACACAACACAAGGAACCAGCCAGGATTTAGCCCTGAACTCCTGATGCAGCATCTAAAGCCTCATGTTACAATACCAGCTTCCATATGCAATCCGTGTGCTTGCTGCCTGGCAAAAGTACAAGACCCAGGGATCCCTCCTCCATTTATGAAATACTGTTAAGTAGTTAATATCATGGGTGACAAATTACCCCTTAATTTTGGTGAGGAATTTCAAGGTTAATTTTTAATAATATTACAAATTAACCCTGAAATACCACATTATTCCACATTAAATTCCAAATATTTTATTTCACATGCAAAATTATAAAATTGCCATCGCAATGTTTGGTGTGACATTTCTCAATACTGTAAACAAGTCAAACACCCATGATTGTAAGCATAATTTGTCACGGCTTAGCTAATAAGAATTTTGACAAAATACGTCTGAAATTATTTCCTAATTTCACTCATCACTATTTGACTACTGATACTAATTTGTGTCAAAAACAAAGATAGATGCATACCGCTAACAGGTTCATGATTGTGTGTCCAACTTCTGCATACACTGATGATCTGTTCCTTGAACTGAACAGCGGACAGGGGTAATCTATATCAAACAAAACCAGCTCATGGATTAATCTCTTTAAAAAAATTATGATGTCGATGGGTTAAGACAATGTATCATCTTCTCACAGAGCAAACTACATGCCATAACTTAAATGCAGTAGATTATTCTCTTTAAAAAAGCACGATGTAACTTGATTGAGACAATGTATCAACTTCTCACATACAGCAAACTACAATCTTTCAATCTTTCAATCTTTATTTTCGTTCCAATTGACATTTTTTACAGTTAATCTGGCCTGGAGATTGAAAGCTGGACGGCCAAGGAACAACTGGAAGCGGTCCATGGTGCAGGAGTTGGGAAGAGTAGTCTACTCCTGGGAGAAAGCCAGTGGTGTACGTTGGAGGATACTGGTGGACACCCTATGCTCCCCCGTGGTGATAAAAGATAATAATGACCAGTCTAGGCCGTCCAGTCTATCAAGATCTAATTACAATTACCACATGCAGTTAATTACTTTCAGATGATTTACCCGTTGATTATTAACCATCATTATTGTGCAATGTATCTAAAACCTACATCTGAACTCTGCCCCAAGTCTTAGCTGAAGTCTCAAAGGAAACAGTTGAGCCCAAGGTGTCTCCAGACGTTTTATCAGTAACCCTACAACATAAGGTGTTGACGGCACAGGGATGTTCTTGAGACACTGAAATTTAACACAGTTAGTTGGCTTAATCTTCAAGAAGAAAAACTGCTGGGTTGTTCGAAAGCCAGTCAATGCCAACCCAGGATTAAAAGTTAACCGAAGTATTAAATTTTTGCCACATAAAAATGTTTTTCACTGCTTTATATGTTTTGTGTAGTTTGAAATTATTCAAACTCAAAATTGAAGAACAAACAATACAAACTGAAACCCTCACCGAAAAGTTACAAAAAAAGAAATCAAAATTCTGCTAATCCTGGGTTGGCTTAATCAGGCTTTGAACAACCCAGCACTGAACAATAAGGTCACAGTACAGAGGCAGACCTCTTTTTGTATCAGAAACAAAGTTGCATTTAATTATAGTTTTGTATTAAGTAAACATAGTTATGTCACATTTTCGTTTTGTTCATAATTATATGTAAGTTTTGCTTCTTTCAATAATTCCATATCTTTATAATTATCAGAAAACAGCCCTAAGAAAATACACATGCTGATTTGTTAAAAATCATGTTTCTATAACTCGATAGAAACACAGAACTAGCACGAGCTATTGATATAATGATGGCACATGTAAAGAGAATTTACATTTTGATGATCAAAGTAGACAAGTTGTTTTTCTTTTTTTGTTGCTGTGTTTTCTAAAAGAAATAAAAAACATGTTCTCCGTGTTTCTATTGAGGTATAGAAACACTCGTGAAAGTTTGGCAGAACTAAAAAAAAGCTGTGGAAATGCTCGCCTGTGGCTCGTGTTCCCACAGCATTTCTCATTCTCCCAAACTTCCACTCATGTAACACAGTACATGTTTTCTATTTCTTAAATAACATTCAACTCTTGTGCATAATCATACACAAGTCTTGTGCATGTCTACAAGTTATAAGTACATAATTTATCATGCTTTTTCTTGCCATCTCACCCATACAGCTTGTTAATATGAAATAAATAAATGTTAAGTTGATACAGTCAATATTTTGAATAATCAAAAGTCCACATAACAGTATGTGCAGATCATGTTAATTAATATGAGGCAAATTTTGCAATTCTCCAGACACAAGGATTGGAAAATATGTGGGGCTAATAATCATTAACATTTCTACCTTGGGTATTTTAGGAAATCTTCAGAAATCTTCAGATTCTTTGGAAGTCTTTCAAAAATCGTCACATCATCTTGGGAAGTCCCAAAACTCACTGGATTAAAACCTCATGCATTTGACTCAAAAATAAGTTGAATTGGCATGCAGATGTTGATTTATACATAAAGTACTGCTCAGAAGTAACCTTATACAGAAGACAATCACAAAATGCATACAGAACAAGTATGGGAAAAGGAACAGATTAGCCAAATGAATACAGAACAGATATAGAACAGGTAAGGGAACAGATATAGAATCAGAACTGAACTTGCTTTATTCATTGTTCTCTTTTAGGTTACTTCTGAGCAGGGCTCTAGCTTAATGGACTTGGTTGATCCTCTGCGCTTTGATCCCTACCTGAAATGATGGCTTCACATAAAGGAAACCTGCATTGTCACCACTGCCAAGAAAGGGCTGACCAAAAATAGTGTAACCAAGTTCTGACACTGTGTGACCTGACATCAAAGTGATATACCAAGATTTAGACTGGGAACATAATGATCGTGGTAGCCAAGATGGTCTAATAGCACCAGATCCCAGCCAGAGCGGTTTGGATTGACCATAGGCTGGGACCAATGTGTTGTGTTCCTGGGCTATAGACACTTTACACTCCCAGTGCCTCTTTCCTCCCAGGGGAATGGGTACCAGCAAATGAAATGCTGGGGGTTACAATGAGATGGATTAGTATCCCATCCAAAAGGGGGGGGGGGGCAGGGGGGAGGGTGGACATACTCCTAATCACTTCATGTTATGGAAACTGTAGATAACGCCGAATAAACCTGATGGGCCACAAGGCTTTAACCAAGACTTCTGACAGTTTACATGTACCTTGAGGGTAAGGGACGGTGTAAAAGTTCAAGAGGTGTGATTAAGTACATTGTGTAGCCACAATTAGATGCATTTTTGTAAGTGATGAATGAAAAATTAATATGATGGATAAAAAATTGACAGATAAAAGAAGTGAAGGATCTAGATGGTTGATCTTAATTCCTACAAAGTTTTTAAGACTGTCACTGTACCTTGCTTGGCATATGCAAAAGCTGTGTTAAAGTGTGAGAGGACATCTTTGGGAAGCATTGCCTCTTTACGAAGACACTCCAACAAAACCACCTGGAAGGAAATTAAACTTAAGTCAATGATGAAGAAGAACTTAGGCAATCACATAGCAAAAGCTGTTATGGAAGATACTGTAAGAAGACAGGCCTATACAATCTTAAAGATGCTTCCCTTGTAAAACCAGCAAATTATATATTTTTCTGAAGATACTCAGATGATGGAAAACACATCATAGTGAGCAATCATGTTAAACTAATGGAATCTTAAACAAAAGAATAGAACCTCTACCCAGAATATTATTTATTCATTTATTTATAATGACATACACTTTACCATTTCCTCTTGGTTTGCAGCTCCCATTCCTTCTGTCACAAAACACCAGCACTTCCGTTTTACACAACAGTTTACTGGATCAAAGAATATACATAAGCTGGTAAGTCATCTCAAAAACGTTTCCAAATCTTTTCCTCTGATATCCCAAGTAATTTAAATAACTTTTTCTTGATGGACTTAACTTTTTTCATGTAGACCATTATTCTGGCCTTTTGGGTATGCAAAACTGGAAAGCATCACAGACCTGGCATTATTAGACAATGTTATGTACATGACTGTATATAACACTCTATTTTCCATCCTAGGCCAGGTAGTAAGTGTATAAATTCCCTGAATGATTGTTGGACAAGTTCTAAAAATGTAAGGAAAGGGACATGCAATAGCACTTGTCTAGTATCTGATCAAAGCAAAGAAGTTTAAACGACAAAATCCAGTGTCTATGTTGTAGGCCAAAATGAAATTCAGGTTAAAATGAAATTCCTTTGTCTCTTAACCCTAATTATTCATGGATCATGAATAATTAGGGTTAGAATCTTGACAAAGGAAATTTAGAATCAAACAACTAGGTTAAAATCATTTTAACCTGCAACATTTACACAGTCTCACATACTCACATTTCACTATGCTAACTTTGACTACCAAGTTTTTATTGAGTAAAAATACAACAGTTTCATGGAGACCTGTAAGCAAAAACAACAACAAACAAACAAACAAGTGTTAACTTCTTTTCTCTTACTTTGTTGATGAAAAATTAATTATGACACTTAATACTCGTTAGTATAACACAGTGTAAAATCGCTTATACAGTAACTCAGAGCACAGATGAACCTGGATCACCCTCGGGGAATGGCTAAGTGACAGCTTAATAAAGGGTGACCGCCTGATACAGGTTGCAACTAGAAAAACAGTTCAAAGACAATCAGTGCTGAAAAGACACTATTTTGACCTCAAATTAGATTTGCGAAAATAAACAAGGAAATCAATTGTTTGACCTTGTGTGTTAGATTATTTGAAACTATGTGAACAAGTAATTGACACCGTGTGACCGTTTAATACAGGTCAAGACAATAGGAAAAGTCCTGTTGGGACTTCGCAAATGGTGACCGCGACCGCTTAATAGAGGTGACTGCTTAATAGAGGTCAAAATTACAGTAATTAAGGGAAGTAATTTTCAGGACTTTGAAAAGTGACTGCTTAATAGAGGGTGATCACTTAATATGGTGCTGCTTAATACAGGTTCAACTGTATACACAAAATACTACATGTAATTAAAAGTGAGGACTTCAAGTCTTATAAATTACAGTGAAGCACCTTTTATCTGATACATAATTTCTGCAGGATCAGGCCTCTCCTGAATAGATATCTCTGAAATACAATACAATGTAGAGATATTTATTATGCTACATGTACAGGAGTAGAACCTTGCAATCTGTCAACAGTGTATGCTCAAGCAGTTTGCAAACAGGTTTACCAGCAGTTCAAAGTCAAAATAAAAGACACAAGTCAAAACACAAATTTTAATAGTTGTCAAGAGTATTTCCATGATCATGTCTGAGCCTGGAAGCAAATAACAGTGTAGAATTTAGTTCATCTTGCCCGCTCTTGGCCAAATAATAAAGCCACTTCCTCTTGGTCCAAGTAAAAGATTGATCAGTCATTTTGTAATTTAAAGAATCTCTTCCTTACGGCTGCCCAGATGAAATGACCAAATTTTGGTGGGCTATTGGTAGTCAGATTAACCACACTTCCAGTCATTGTACTGTTACGAAGAACCATAACATCACTGTACCTTCATTTACAACTTTCAATAGTGGAGGGAGTGCAGTGATATCTAGAGGCAACAACGATCGCACATTATCAACATCTAATCGAAACAGACAATCACTGTCATCTGAGAGAGCTGGTGATGCTGGAGTGGATAATGGCGTCCCTGTTGCGTCTGTGAGTGGAGCTACAGGAATTTGTAATGGGGGAAGAACTGGCGGTGTCTGTTCCATTGTGACGCCCACTCCTAGGAAATTGTACATCACTGAGTTCTTGTTTCTACACTACAGTCACAATAGCTCCTGAGAGTCTATTTGGACTTACAACTCCTATACTTAATAAACTGAGAGTGGTTTTGATTCATTTCTTCAAGTATTATTTTTGAATATCTAACATAATCTGTCACACTGATGTTAGCTAATAAATCATTTTCTACAAACCATAATGTAATGCAGGGGCCTGTTTCTAGTACATGTCAAGTATTTCAGGAGCTTTGACACTCCCTTGCCTTGATAAATAAGAGTATATATGTACAGATTTATCTAATGAAATATCAGTTTTCAGAGGTGATTGAAATATGGCGGAAATTCAAATTATCAAGTTTTCAACATTTTGCCTTGATTTTTTCAAAATTAAAACACTGATTTATTTTACATTTCAAACTTGACCATGATACCATGATAACATCATCACGTTGTACAGTTTATGTCATACTTACTGTTCATGTTTATTCTTAATGTTCACAACTGAAGTGATAACATTTTATGTAAGAAATTCTTGGCTGTACCTGTTGCAGACAAGTCCAAATCTGTTGTATCATCTCCAATAGCCTCTGCACCTGCTCCAATTTCCTGCTGGTCATCTAGCAACTCTTCATCTTCCTCCAAAACATCTTCCAAGAGTACATCATGTGAGTCTTGTGGCAGACTGCCAAAATCACTTGCAAGGTGCACATTATCTTGGTTTTCTGCCACTTCCAATAATGTCTGGGCTGCAAAAGAACCAACGCCCAAAGCTAAATTAGCAGTTCCAGGTCTATGCTGGGGTTTCGTTAAGGGCTAGGCACCACGCACATTGACAAGCTGTGAGAATTATTTCACCTGCCAAGTTTGACCATCTAGTGGAAAGATTTTCTTGGAAAGAAGTTCATTAAAAAAAAGTTTTGCCTGCCTGCAAAAATCAGTTCCCTTCCTGCTGAAAATGTTAATGAAATCCCTGTCTGTGATCAAAATTTGTAGGGCAAAAAGGCTTAACAGTTAGCACTATGCAGTGTAGATCACATAGTCTAAGTTGGAACCGTAGTCAGGGTCACTGTGCCACGTTCTTCAGCAAACCATGTAACTTACACAATGCCTCTCTCCATCCAGGGGTATAAATGGCTACTGACAAATTGTGGGGGCAACTGGACAAAAATGGTGGAAGATTAGTACATGTACGTACAAAAGAGTAGCTTCCGTTCCAGGGGAGTAAACATACACTAAGTTACTTTATGTTATGGAGGCTGTATAGGAGTCACACTGACTCATTTGACCCATCCACCCTGGCCCAATCCCTCTGGAAATTCCAATTTTGGTTCATAAACTCAATTGGATTTTGAGACACCCCTCCCCCTTGGAATTTCAAATAATCCTCCTAGGGGTGGGTATGGATATTTCATGGAAGTAAACACTGAGCAATTAATAGACCTTTTTCACTTGGGTGGTTTGTTTTCCCATAACAGACCATGTGATATTCTCTAGGGAATTGCTCTTTTATCCATCTTAAAATTATTTATTCATTATGCACATGACCATTTGAAAATTTGAGAGGAAGAATTCTCAAGAGTACATGTACATGTGTCATCACATGGTCTGAAATGGGGCAACAAACCACCCAGTCGAAAAAGGTCTATTGTACACACTGAAATATTGTGACTTGGTTACCTCTCAACAGAGCATTACAGCAAACTTGGCAAACACGACCTTCCTTGTTATCCATGTATGGTAACAAGAACTTCATGTTGCAGCAGGATGAGCAAAGGGCCTGCAATAAAAGTCTTTCAGTTGGAAGTCATGTAATCAGCTAATCTCAGGGCTGGTGGTACAGTATATGACTCTTCAATTGGTACTCTTGTAAAACTGATGATGGATGTTTCATCTGAAACATTTCTTGTTGATATAACATGAATTTCAAACTCATCATGTGGTTTTTGAAAGAAATATCTTACTTTGTACTGCCAAGAAGCCATGTTCTACATGAACTAACCATTTTGGGGTGGTTTGGTTGATTAATTTTCAACTGATAGCAGACCAAGTTGAACTCGGGTGATCTTTCCAAAAGGAACCCTTTTTCACCAAATTACGTTTGGTTACAATACAGTGGAATCCCGATTTCTTGAACCCTCAGTTTTTTGAACTTCCCAATAACTTGATATGTCGAACCAAAAGTTGTTTTCCTCCCTCAGTCAAACACTGTAATAATAATTTCACCCCAGATTTCTCAAAACTCTCCGATTTTTTGAACCAATTTTCATTTCCCTTGAAGGTTCAAAAAAATTGGGATTCCACTGTAGTTGATAAGCATTCAACAAACATTTACTCCTTTCAATCAAACCAACAGGAAAACAACTCTAACAACCCAATAAACTGAGAACACTATTTTTTTTTATCCCTGATCCTTCACATTAACTAATGTTCCACTGACAACAGTTGGGGAAATGCTCTACTGAGACACTCTCTCCTAATACAGTAATAATGATCTGATAAAATTAAAAGTAACAGATTTTGTTACTTACTATACCTTTCCGCAAGCTCTGCAGTGGTGTCGTCTCTTAATAACACTAAACTTCACCCCACAGTTCATACAGTGCGTAGCTACAGAGTCTGGAACCCAAATGGGTGGCACTTTGCCAAGGCATGATTCTCCTGAACTAATCCGTCGAGCTTCTAATGATGCGTGAGACTGCATTGTCATGGTTAAAACAGGTGACTCTGTACGTTCCTCTGATCCAACTGAGGGCTGTTCATTATCTGTATTAAAGCTATCTTGTTCTATACCATTTTCAGAGTCTCTTAAACTGGATTCATCATCAACAAAAACATGTTCACCCCCAGGTTCATTCTGCTCATAGAAATCTTGCGCTTCTGCGTTAGGGGCTTCATTAAGCCCCAAATAATTAGTTTCACCATCTCCAGCCATCGCAACAATGGATGATCCAGGTTGGTCATAACTAACAGTGTGCGACTGGTCTAGCAGTGTTGAATTTACCTCATAGCCATGAATGCTAGTGTCTTGATACTGAGACCTGTTGCTAATCACAGCTTGTTCGGGAGTCTCTTCCACCTCTAAAGTTGAATTAACTAATGCAGGAGTTTCATTCTGGGGAATCTCATCTAGTCTTAAACGTTCTAAGTCATTTTCATTTTCTTCCCTGCTCACAAATTGTGTTTCTTGATCTGTAGCACTGTTTGAAACTGGTGTGGAATGTGAAGAAACCTCCTCACTTGTCCTACAGATCTGTACTTCTGCAATATCAATTTCATTACTGTCAGCCTCCTGGCTATCCAATGCATGCTCCTCAGACTGCAAAGTCACCACATTAGATTCTTCATTAAGTAAGCCAAGATCATGGTTCAGTTGTTCTTCATCATCAAGTTCAAAGTGCTCAGAACTAACTGGCTCATTTACGCCATTTTCTTTGAGTTCATCAATAGCATTCTTGTCAACAAGACTTTCCAGGTTTCCGTCGTCAACAAGATGTTCAGCACTTTGGTTTGTAATAGCTTCAGCAGCTTGTATCACTCCATTTATGCTACTGCTGTCACTGTCACTATCATTCTTGACATCTAACGTACTTTGATCAGATCCCTGATCAGACAATACCTCTTCCTGGATACTGGGGAATGATGCTTGAAAGCTCAATCTTGCTGCCTGCTTCCTGTCCGCAGCAGAGGCAACACAAGCAGCTGGCTGTTCTAACTCAGGTTCTAAGTAAAAGCGACAGAGGATCAGAATATCAAAATAGGGTTTGAGTGTAAAGCACTCCATTCAACAAGTATTCACAGTCCTCTGTTGTAAAGACAGAAAGATCTTTCTCTTTTAGAACTGAAAATATCTCTTTGTTTATGCATGTACAAGCAGTTCACAAAATGTATTTGAAAAAATTGAGTTTCATAGACATCCTGTATTCTGATGTGTCCATAAAATCTTTCGAATACTTAGTTCTTTCTGAAAAGCCTACCAATCAAAATTACTTCTGATGATAAGCCCCTCTGAAAATAAGCCCAACCGAAATACATGTATCAGCCTATGAGAAAACCTTGTTAACAAAAAATATATTTCAGAATTTTATGCTGCCTATTAAATTTTATTCACAATTTTTGTCTCATAACAGCTATTACTGATCTCAATATCTATAAATATCATGGAAGAGCATTATTGTTATAATAGACACAAGGCTCACCTTGTTCTTTTTCTTCAAATTCATCCAACAGCTTGTCTAAATCCACTGGAACAAATGCACTGGCCATGCTACAATGTAACACATTTCACACATGACTAACAAAAAATCTTTATTGCTGAACAAAGCATATACTCCATGACTTGTTTGATTATGTTAATTGCACCACCAATCACTGAGATCAGACAAAAGGATTATACAAATGGGGTTTTGGTCAGACTCTGTGATTTATTTTCCCTCACAACACAATAAATTCCACACATAATCCTAGTGTCAACACTTTTCAGTTTCACTTTTTTGGTATTACATGCATTTCTTCAACTAGATTTTTAAATAATCCCCTCCCTTATTGTATCCTTTTGGTATGCTTTGGTGGCATATAAGTCGAGTAATTTTTCACTGGCTGAGTGAAATGAAATAAATGAAATGTTTTTCTCACACACCATTAAGGCCTGGGTATAGGTCATGTGACCTATCAGGCAGGCAGTTGTTTTTGTTGCGTCAGCCATAGCCGACTTTCCCGCCCACCCACCCAAAGATTTTAAGTTTTTACACAATACCAGTATAATGTACTAGCCTTGAACTTTTTTCATTATTTCTGGTGTTTAGCATAATGCTACTTGTATTAGCTTTGACTTCGCAATAAAGGTCAGGCGGCAGCGGTCAGCTTGGCATGGCTACCAGCGGTGTGTGAGAAATCAGGTTCATTTGGTATCCCCATCAGCATTGGTATTTTGGCTGGACTTCATCTCACCAAAAATATGAAACAAGGCTTGGCCAAACTTGTCTGATTTACCACCAAAGCAATGTATAAAGAGAATGGCTTGAGAACTTTTAAAATGAGTGTTGTAAAACCAAAACCAAAGTTATAACTCTGGCCAATCACAGATAAAACGGACAATCTAGTGAACCACACAAAACTCAAAGCAAAAAAAGTAGCCGATGTAAAGCATGGGAAAATGTGTGTGTGGTTTTGGTTTAACTTCTGATTGGATGACAAAGTGGCATGTGCCAAAGCCAGTAATCACTTGGCATGGTAAAGCAAAACAAAAAACAAATGCAGATTTAGGGGTGGCAAATGTTCCGTCAAAAACCATGGGTCTTGCAAAAATTTTCGCTGAACTTCGTGGGTCTTGCAGTTTTGTTTTTAAAGCAGTTATGTGCATCTCGCAGTCTCACTTTTTTTCACAAAGCTGTCTCACAGTCTCGAGTTTTTTTGAGGCTAAGAAAGTCACAAAGTACCGATTTGTTAATTAATTTAGTTTTTTGTATAAGCTTAAATGACATCTGAACATCTCATAACCTGAACGTGTTTAGCTCGCATTTAAAACACTTTGAAGTCTCCAGCTTGCAATTGAATAGGTCAAAATGTCTCAGGCTCGCAAAGAAAAATACTCATTCCACCTTCTTGCAAAGTTTTTGCATTTACATGTACCATTCACCACCCCTAGATTACTTTCAACGCTCCAGTGAAACCCATTCTATTACCTTTGATTCATACAAGTTATTGTAACAGTCTTAAGGTCATTCCTCACATTTGCATTGCGCATCCTTACTGCGCATAATTTATGGCGTCATTAGTGCGTGCTCATGCATGCGCATATTGAAAACATGACGGATTTGCCTTGATATTGAGCTCTNCAGATACACTGTGGTCTTTTCTATTTTGCAGTCGGTAACCACGTCAAGAAATTTAGTTCAAATTTTAATCAAGGATTTAGTTTTTTGTCAGAATCAAACTTAAAATGCTTAGTTGTGTCCGACACAATGTATTGACTGTAGTTTAATGTGTTTTCTTATGAGTCTGGGCTCACAAAGATTTTACAATTACTGGGAATGCGTTTTTATAATATGCATTAAATAATGCCAAAATGGGGCATTTTCAATGCCTCACTGCTCCTTAATGAGCATGGGCACCCCCCTTTTTTATTTCAAAATTGAAGCTATCATATGACAAATATTCAGTGGACAAAGTTTGAACAAAAATCTATCGTCACTTTTATTTCAGAGGAATTACCTTAAATGCACTGATGAACCAAAGTTTTGTTCATTTATTTTTCAAGAGTTCTTTGTTTACATGACCTTGTACATCTTCACCACTACGGTCCAGACAAACATGTATAGGTACAGTCAAAACAAGAGTCCCTTGTTAAACAAAACCACTGTCTCCAAAAAATTCGCGTACTGTGTACAAAAGATAATGACGTAATGTTCTTGTTCACAAGTAGATTTATGTGAATTAAGTATCTCTGACTATTTTCCACAACTTAATTGCACATTACTTCCTTAATTCAATATCTTGATGATTACAACTGGAAACGACTCAGTTGCACCCTTCTGACGCTCAGCTACCAGTATAAGCTTGAACATGTTCACATGTTTATCTTGGACAGTTCGTTATGATGTCGAACTTTAAAATAGCTTTACGCTTAATCTTATACAGGACAATGTTAAATGTGGGGTTAGGCTAAGAAATAAATATATTTCTTTTATCTTAACTCAGCAAGAAAGTTTTATCAGAGCTTTAGAACGTTATTCTCTGTTTTGGACTTGTTTACAAGCGCTACATTTAAACATAACAATCAAATAACCCAACATGCATAGCTAAATTATAAGCCTACCTGATGATGGAGGCGTGTAAATCATTTCACATGGCTGTTTAAGAAAGCCGTAATGTATTTTCACACAAAACAGTAGTTTAACCTCCCGTCTCTGCAATTAACACTGTTCTCGCCACGAAAGAAAAGTTATTTTGCTTCAGCACATGCACACATTACATCAACCACATCGTCGTCGTAGTTTGCTCTTTGCTCAGGCTCCGGTGAGCTCATTTGACGATCAGCAGTTGCACAAAAAGAACGTTGTGTACGGTCAACGAGATGACTCGCGAAATGGCACGAAATTTTGGCGGGCTCTGATTTTTTGGGCCCACTTTTTGCGATTTTTTCGTTTATTTTTTTTTTCCCACGTTCCACAAAAAAAGAATTCCCGAAAAAAAAAAAAGCTACCGCAAAAATGTTCTTGGCAAAAATTTACTCCACTGGCGAAATTATACATACAAGCGCACCAAAGCGAAAAGCCAAAAGCCATGCGCTTGGGTGCAAATTAAAACCCAGACACTATATAGCCTGCTCGTAGGTTACAATAAATAGCTCAAAAACTGTCTTTCAGTTTTGTTTATTTTGCCTAAATATCAAATCAGAGCCGAGGTAGGGTCGTAGGGGCCCGCGGGGGACTCCCCTTTGAAATGGTAGGGGATGCCCTGGGGAATGCCAATCTGGGTAAAAATGGAATAGGTTCGATTATCAGTCGCTATTCGGGAGAGGAGCCCGCGCTATTAGACCGGACCAGACCAATGAAAAAATTCAGGCTTGAACAGGATTCGAACCCATGACCTCTGCGATACCGTGCAGTGCTCTACCAACTGAGCTATCAAGTCAACTGGGATCTGGTCACTTTGTCTTCATATCTTTCTCCGCAGTTCAAATATATGATCTTTCAAATAGTCATTTGTATCCTTCGCCATCTACAGGTATATTACGAACTCACAATGCGACCAGCTGCCAGTTGACTTGATAGCTCAGTTGGTAGAGCACTGCACCGGTATCGCAGAGGTCATGGGTTCCTTCCTGTTCAGGCCTGAATTTTTTTCAGGCTTTAATTTCACAACTGCTTAAGTTGCGATGATCAATCATATCGTCATATCTTTCTCCGCAGTTCAAATATACGATTTTTCATATATTCACTTGTAATACGGGGTCTATTCAGCTCAAGTTACTTAAAAAACACTAACGTGCCATCTAAATCACTACTGTAAATACAGACTGACTCAGTCCAAAACCACGTGTTTGGGATCAGGCAGTTTCTTTTACATGCTACACATACAAGCAACACAGAAAGTGATTCATTCTAATTACAATCTTCGAAATAAACTAAGATAAAACTACAGGCCAAACCCAAGGTGATATGTGTAATGTTAGAGATGAGATGAGTAGTGAGGGGTGTGTTAGGTATGAAGTAGTACGGATATAGTAGGAATGAGTAAAGAACTCATAAGATGGGTGACACTGCCAAGAAATTATATACAAGGCTCAAAAGGCTCGTAAAAGTGTCAAATATTCGCTGGTAATCTAAACGCAGTACGGATAGCTTTGCATAGCATGCAGTAACAGAGTGTAACTGACCCACGGTTAACGGCATAGCATGCTAATGTTGGTAACTTGAAAAACGATACTAATAGATAGCTATTATATTGCACTCTTGCTAGAATGATTCTGATGTGAACTAGATCCTAATTCTAGGTTACATACTAAGTATGAAGCAACACCACAGTTATTTTACTCAACAGTGCGTAGTGGATTTCTATTGGCTTGCGATAGTCTTATGACTTTCATGCTTTAAATTTGGTCAATCGACTAAAATTAGGCTGTTACTTTTGCCTGAACCCAGCTGTGAAACTGATGAGTGGTTGTCATGTCTAGATTCATATCAATGGTATTTTTTAACATATTTAACTTTGAAAACTGAGGGATTTCAATTGAGTGGTAAATTTAGACAATTAAGACCGATTATGCGGAAGAGAAAATACTTTCTATGGATTCTGGCAAACTCTTACGAACTCTCACAATAAAATTACAATGGAAGGGTGAAATGGTACTATCAGTATCCACAGTATATACGGCACATTGGGAAACTAGGATAGATAGGGTTAGACTTTCTAAAACACCTTTCCTAGTTCTTGGTTTCGCCGTTTCGCCGCAAAGGTCGACTTGTGGCAAGTCCAAGATGGGGTCGGCATTTTCTGCTCAACCAACTACTATATAATATTATAATTTCTTTGTTTGTAATTTAGTAACATCTGAACCTGAAGAAGGCTGGTCTGACCAACCGAAATATTGTGTTAAATATACGACGTTGTGTCAGCCTTGCAGTAGTCTTTGACTTCTCATTGTTTTACTTTTCAAGTTTGGCTGATTAGATCTCCTGTGAGATCCAACGTTCAATCAAGCAGGATCTTCGTTCACTGCTTTACAGTTTATTTAGTTTCTTATTTTCTGCTTGTTCGTTCAAATGTGAGCAGGTGTATAAAATACACTAAAACTGGAAATATGATTGTACATTTCCCGTCAGTTTGCGCACAAGACATTAATTACAAGTCTTACAACAGCCTGTTTAAGAAGTGCTCGCTCACGCATAAATACTTTGGTTATTTAATATTATTTTGCAGCACTCGTAGCAGTGGAATGGCGCTATTTCATCACACGGATTCTGATAGAGGATTGATCTACACTTTAATGTTATGATATCGCAGCATTTTTTGTATAATTTACATTTGTACATTGTGTAAACTGAGTATGGAAACTGAAAGCACACAAAGAATATCACTGTTCGATTGTCAAGGAGTGCTTCACACCCCACTCCCTCCGTGCGTCCTGAGGTACAAAATGGTGAACAACCTGCAAAAGAAAAACAACGTAATGTTCATGTGGATTGTTTCTCACAGTTTACTCTTACTAATCAGGGACCATATACGGACCTAAGAAAGCTTCTTATTCTGACCACTGTGAGGCACATTCAAATAGAGCGAACTGAGGACAAAAAGTAAATGACGATTAACTTCCGAGTTGCCTTTTGCCTCTGTTTCAAAACGAGTCTTCGTGCGAAACCATTCATATGGAAATGTGTTCCGCCTACAGGTTCATTTTCAAATGAAAGGTTTTGCACGAAGACTCGTTTTGAAACAGAGGCACAAGGTAACTCGGAAATGGCCTTTGGGGTGGAATTTGGATGATTACACTAGTATCTTGAAAATCTAGAAATTACGAACACAATAGAAAGGATCAGCAAAGATAATATACTGCTAATAATAATGACTAAAGTTGACATAATTCGATTTACCCCTGTGCTGTTGGCCTCTAGCTTTATTGTGTAGTCCAGGTCACCTCGGTGGCTTAAACAGTTCTTACTGTTGCTGCAATCCACTCTGACAACGACATCACTGTGAGACTGGGAACGGAATACATATGTCACTTTATAACTACACATACAAACTTTGCCAAATATACACCCTTGTCGCGTCTGCCAAACCACACCAGTTTGTAGTTTTATAGAGCGTTGTTTTTCATGCGTGTGTGTAGGCACTGTCGTAAAAGCAAAACCCATAGTAATCACTCTGGCCAGTCACAAAGGACAGAGACAGTCTAATGAACCAATCAAAATTAAAAGCAAATATAACTAGCTACAACTAGCTGGCATGAAACGCGGGAATACTCGTGCGAGCGAGTCACGATTGGTTTAGGTTTTACTTCTGATTGGATGACAAAAGTGGCGTGAATTGTTTAAAGCCAATCGCTTAGGGTGATAGACTTCTGCGAAACGAAAGCAAACACCAATTACTTTCAGCACTCAAGTGAACACGGCTCTAGGCATACATTTAAATTGTCGACTAATATAATAGTTAACTATTGAGCCTCATCTCCACGAGCTGCTCATTGCTACATGTATAAACTGGTCACTCTGTGGAAAGGGCCGGGGGAGGGAGGTCGTACAGTGATCACTTTCATGTTCTTCCACATTAAATCCCCAAATCTGAAGGAGTACTTTTTGTACACCACACAAAAATATGTCATATCTATCACAGATCCTGATGAACCTTTAGATACAGTTGTAGTCACAGCAGTCTTACCGTATTCTGTAGCACCAGTGTCACTCTTATGGCACTCTCATACTTGTACAAAATAAGATCTCTCATTCCTCTTACATTCTCCTTTTTGGAGATGTTATTAAGTACTGAAGTCACTACAGCTTTCTCCACGACATCATTTCTGTTCTCTAGGATTGAGTTCACTTGTAAAGTTGGCCTACACTTGTTAGAGAAAACCTCTAGCAAAAATGGACATGACTGTAAAGTTAAAGATGAAGATCATTTGTTACGACTTTTTACTTGACTGTGTTTGACTGAAAGTTAATACTGTAATGTCCCTGGGACATTCGTGATAGAACGCTAGTAGATTTATACTACTAATAAATAAACCTGGTACAACATGTGCATTTACCTCCTCTGCAATATCTATATCCATCATACCCTGATAATATCCTTATATTCCATAAAAATTGGTGATAATACGCCCTGAGATCAAAATGCTTTTATGGTAGACTTACTGGGTGATTCTATAGAACATCCATACCTATACCGCCGGCACCATCTTCGAATTCCGAGGGAGATTGGTGGTTTCTTGGACTGGAATTCTGAAGGCATAGTACAAGCTGTTCATGCGCCTGTGGTTGAGTATGGATATTTTCTGGAATCACCCATTCTTGCCTCAACCTCAATGTGATTTTCTGTTTAGTCCCGTAAACCTCAGAGCCATATGTTAGAATTTCAAAATATTAAAACTGGCCTATTATTGAATNCCCAAGGGGAAGAGGCTATTATCAGCATCACATACAAAATAGTCAGCAATTTTGCATTTCAAAATTGTTTGAGTTAATCCCACAAATATGTATACTGTACCTGATCTAACTCAAGAGCTTTGTTGAAGCCCATGTTTTCAAGAGTCAGCCATAAGTCATTGGGATCACCATCAGCATCTTGAGCTTCCATCATGTTCAGGTCAAGGAATCCCTTCAGAGTGATCTCATCGTCTTTCACTTCAAAATTATCTAAAAAACAATAACAGTGTGTAACAAGTTCAGTCTTAGTCAGACCAAACACACAGGTCTCAGGAAAGGACTGAACATTCAGCACCTACAGACAATCTTCTACAGGCAGTTTGATTCATCCATTATAAAATGTTTTTTTTTTTTTGGCAATTACCTTTCATGATTTCCCATGCATCGTCATCACATTGTTCACCACCAGATTTCATCTGAAAAAAGTCAAATTCTTCCCGACTTAAGTATCCATTGCCATCAAGGTCGCAACGGTCAAAGATATCAGTTAGAGCTTCCCTGCAAAACAAAGTAAAAAATATTTTCCCAAAATTAGGAAAATTATTATTTTTTCCATGGCATTACAGTTTCATGTACCGGTAATACAAATTAATGATTTTCTAGACTTTGTACAGTGTATGTGTGTGTGTGCAATTTCAATTGTAGGTATTATAATTTCTAAGTGTAGAAAATATTCCAAAACATAATTTCTGCTATTAATTACATTTTACTAACATATTACTTTTTGGATCCATTAAATACAATAAAATATGTTATTCTTTTTAATCTTCCTCCTTCTTTTGTTCCTTAAAGATGATTTCCAGTCCGTACTGTGCAGTCTCAGCACCCTTATGTTTATAAACATTTTAATGTCTCACTCGATGGAATTTGAATCAATGTTATTCGTTATGAACCACACACCTTATCTTTTCAGGCCTTTCAAATTCTTTTTCCAAAAGCTTCATTGATTTTTACAGCTGTGAAGTTGTTTCATCAAGTAATATGAGAAAGAAAGAAGCATAAAGCTTCAACCACTTTGCATCCATAATGGTGGTTGTTTAGAAACTTTGATGTTACTTCATGTAAGTAGTTGCAAAATGTTTACATTTTGTGATGTCTTGCGTGAAACAAAACAAAAAATGCAAACAAACTCTCGAGAGTGCACAGTACAGACTGAAAATTATCTTTCAGTTTGCTCCATATTACATGTTGCAAATAATGAGTCTGCATACCTGCTTCAAATATATAACATAATTTAATATATATAAAACAAATTACCAATGAAAAAAGTTAAATTACCTAAACGTCTTGCTAAGCTTCATATTTTCTCCAGAGCCAGTGGTAAGGTTGGCTTTTTTGCCTGGTGTGGACTTCCTGACAGAAAGTCGACACCCAGTTGTGAAGGAAATTAAGCTGTATGTTCCTCTCCCCAACTCATGATGAAAACAATATTTCTGCAAAAAGGCAACATAACACAAAAATAAAACAATGGAAGAAGAGTACATAAGTCTTATTAATTAACTTGAATAAACAATATACTGTATTTCTGAATGAGAGAAAACCTTTATTGAGGAAATTAATTATAAGCAACTATTGGCAAGGTTGAGCAATTGATGTTACGATTGCCAGCAGTGTCCAGTGTTTCATTGCTAATGTCAATGGCTGAATTCCTCCATACTGTAACATTATTGACCTTCCATTAGCTGCATTTTGAGAATCTCAAATTGAATTAAAGTTACAAATTTATTTTTCTTTTTAAGTTGTAAATTCTTTCAAATTTTGTAATTTGTTTTTAAGCAAAGTACTTACAGAATTATTATAACTTGCAGTTCCGGTCTGTGTTTATGGCCAGGCAGTGAAAACATACTCATATAACAAAATATAAATTATATAAAACTTACTGGTCCTAGCTTAGACTCTGTAAAAGTAACCAGCTCTGAATTCTTATCCACACAGAATACTGCCATGTCCATGGTTTTCAGTTTATCTGCAACTGGGTCAACAATGATGTAATGAGTATGAGCAAGTCATCTACTTCCATGTCTGAACAACCATTGAAACATACAATGAATGAAGTGATCCGCATAGTTAAAAGCAATTGTCATGATTAATCATGACTCACAATAACATTATTATTGCTTTTAGCTTGAAAAATTTCAATGCTCTGAAGAGGTTCACACATCAAGGCTACATAAAGAGTTATCTCCTGCGTGCTGGTTTCAAATAAAATAAACTTTCGTTGCTTGTTTGTTGCCAGTGCTATTTGAAGTCGATGAGACTTGAACGCATTTAGCAGCCAATCAAATTGTCTGTTCCAACGGCTTACAATCATACTGTGGGAACATGACTGGCGAGATCACAAACAAATTCAGAGTAATTCATTTACAATCGAGCTGTAATTGGTTTAAAATTCTCCAATGGTCCCAGTTGAAGGTGTTGTACTGTAAATCTCATTCAAAGATTCATTAGCTGACCACAGAAGAGTGGGATCAGGGGTTTACATTCACAGGTACATGAAGTAATATATCAAACACAAAAGGACTGTGTTTGACCACATTTCCGAACACCGTGAAGAGAGTTGAGAATACGACTTGGAGCAGAGTATTCTTGACGAACTTCAAGGTGTTTGGAAATGTGGTCAAACACTGTCTTGAGTGTTTGATGTATCTTCTCAATCAAAACTGAAACTAAGCAGACAACAGAGAAATGAAATCGTAAAAAATCTATGCTAATTAAGATCAGATATCCAAACACCGTCATGGTCACGATTTCCTTTGTTTAAACTTGATGAATTATTAATGAGGTTTCTACATATCATCTAGTCAATAATGTTTGTCAACACCCCAAACCAATACCTTTCTTATTAGCAGTGGGTTGGATAGTTACAAAGACATCAGAATCCTTTGTAAGATGTAGTTTGAACTGATGGCTGGTTATGATACCATCTCCATCAATAAAGAAACTACCCTTACTGCATCCTTGGTACCAATCCTGATAAAGAAAACATGACACAAATTTTACCACTAGGCCACCAATTTATACATGTAATCTTAGAACTGTAAAATTAATTATACTGCAGCAGTTTTCAACTGAGTGTCATAAAACCAAACTAATTACTTAGCAATTAGGCTACTCAGTTATCTCAAACCGTAGTAAAACCAAAACCAAAAACAAAGTAATTGCCTGATCTATATCAGACTATATATTACTAGCTACATGTAATATAATTATTACACACCTAAGTTAATTCAGGACCCCAATTACTAAAATCAACCAATCAGATTGTTGAAAGTATTGGCAGTTCAATATTTTCCAAGTTATCAACAAGGCACTGTCTTGCATGACATTGTCCAACAAAAATTTACTAGTTTTATTAATAGCTTACTTTTCTGGAAGAGTTATGTGAAAAGTTAGGTTTCTTTTTCTTCCTTCTTTCTTATTTAATTGAAAATTATGCAAGCAAACACAAAGTCAATAAATTATATGCCCAGTCAGAATTGCATGCTTTCACTTTACGATGTCCCAACAGTCTGTGATTGTGAAAATGCGAGTAACATATTGAAACTGATTGTCATAATGTTCATCTTATTTTGTTACACACTACCCCCAATAAATCGTCTTGTTCCTCAGCTCCTAGAATGAGAATATTCTTTTAACTTGTACCTTCAGGTTGTCAGGTTCCTGAATGTTTTGCTTGTTTATACTTTGTCTTTTATTAATAGAAGATTGTGGTGTGTACGAAGAAGTGGTATCATCGTCAGCTTTTGCCAGTTTCTTTAAGCTTTTCTGTTTACAGTCATCTGCTGTACTTACAAGCAGGGCTGCAAACTAAAGAAACACAACCATTTTTAATGGCTCTGTTATGTCATTCATTTTTCCAATGCAGCAAATCAAACTAAGTTACATGTATATGTACAAGGTTTTAAAAGATACAATAAAAAATGCAAAGCTACAACCTGCAAGACTAGTATTCATTATTAGTTTCCAATTGGCACTTTGGGAAACATTGCCTTTTTGGGTTTTAAAAACATAGGGCAGTGGTATTAAAGATGACAATGCAAATGTCTTTGATATCTTCTTATTGTCACTTACCGAAAGATTTAGCTCTAAGCATTAAACAGACTGTGCCAAGACTGGTTTTAGGTTTTATAAATAGTGTGTCACCTTCCAGCACATACATCCAACTGGGCTTTGTATATTTACCTCATTATAGTCCAGTTTCCCATCATTGTTTATGTCAGCATCATCAAGAATTTCTTGCACCTCAGATTTAGTCATCCTTTCTCCTCGCTAAAGGCAAAGAAACAATGACCGTAAACAATAACAGAAAGTCCTTGAAAAATGCTAGTAGTACACAAAATTCCAGGACTTAAATGTCAGATCTGTACAGAGTACGAGTAAGAAAGCAATTACAGTTAACCTGAATAACAGTCAGGTTTGCTTATTAAATTTAATAGCATTATGGTTAGCCAACAAAGTACACTGGTTAGCCTAATTTACCTTAGTTAGCTTGTGATTAGTTTATGATTATCATAATAGTAATAATAATAATAATACAGTGAAACCTCTATCAAGTGGACACCCTCGGGACCTTCCCAAGTGTCCGCTTAATAGAGGGTGTCCATTTAATAAAGGTTTATAACAATTGTGCAATGTTTGTTAACAATGAACATTCAATTGTTCCCCTGTACTGTAATAACGTTCCAGGTTATTAATGAAGGTATCCAGAGTTCAAGTTCATCAGCTTTCATTACCAACTTTAATTTGTTTGTAATAATGCCCTTTCCATACAGCAACGATAATACAGGTACATTTAATAGACTATTTCAAGGACGTAATCCAATGCCACATTGTCAATTCAGTCTGGTGTCCACTTAATAGAGGTTTTTAACAATAGAAATTAGCCAAATGAAGAAGCTAGTCATAAAAGAGGATAAGTGACGATTTTGGTTGCTTTTCTTTTTTCTTGCTCCAAATTAGCTGAATTTTTGCATGTGGTCTTCAATGTAA